GAAGTAAGTCTTTTGCAGACGGAGGGTTAGATGAGAATTGATGATTGAGTACAAGCATCCTTATCGTAATTTCCGTGCAATTGTAATACTGTAGATAGGGCACTGAGTTCTGCTCTAGTACTATTACAGAGAGTCGAACTCTGTCCTCTATTCTGGCATTCTTACAAAGTTGAGCTCTATCCTACCCTTACAAATGTGATTTCTGGATAAGAAGTTAGAGATAGTACCCAAAAAGAAAAAAATAATGTATGGGCAACTGGAAAAGGGCAGACGAATTACGCCCATCAATAATTGCTCTCCCTCTCCTCATTACTCTTTCAGTATAATTTTAGTAAATATAATTTTTTTAATAAAATAAAAATATAATAATTCAATAATAAAATTTTGTATTTATTGTTAATTAAGTATCCTCTTTATTCATTTTTAATAAGCATAGTTTTCTATTTGAGGTGTTTAAATTTAATTATTTATTTTTTCATTTTAAGATGTCATGTAATTCATTTATTCATATTTTACTTTAATTTTTTTAAAAATTACAACATATATTAAATAAGAAATTTTATTTAAATAGTACTTAATTAAATATAAGATTTTTTTGATTTGTACTTTTATAGCACAGATTAAGGCTTTTATAGCACAGATTAAGGATGCATCTTTGCAATAAATTTATATAAGAGAATATAAAAGTAAATATTAATTTTAGAGTTAATGTCACGTAAATAAATTTAATTAAACAGTTGATGAATTAAATATTATTTTTTATTTTTTTTAAAGATTCTTAACCTGTAACCTTAACTTGTATGCTTAAAACACAAGTTAGAAAAATTATTAAAGATAAGTATGAAATTTTATTAATAAATTATTATATCCCTATTTTATTAAAAAAATTTGATCTATTAAAAATAATCAGAAGAAGTACTACTTAAATAAAACTTGTTATTTAATAAATGTTGTAATTATTTTTTTAAAACAAGGGTAAAATATAAATAAATGCGTTAAATGACATCTTAAAAAGAAAAAATGGACAATTAAATTTGAACACCCTAAATAGAGAACTAAGTTTACTAAAAACAAACAAAAAGAGTATTTTTTCCCTAATTTTTATTTATTATTTTCTTAATTTTACTACCTTGGTTCAATTTTAATTGTCATACTTCTTATCTTATATGTTTAATTAAGAAAATGTGCACATAAGAGTATGAATTGTTACTTTTTATTTAAAGATGTAAATTTGATTAGTTTTTAAATAATATAGTAAACTCTTAACTTTTACTATTTAAAAAAACTAACTTTGTATTTTTTTTATTTAAAGATTAATTAAGTGATTATAAAAGTTGTTTGCCAAATGGTTAAAAAAGCTATTTGCTACATTGGCATCACCATTAATTAATTTTTAAATAGAAAAAATATAAAATTGATATATTTAAATATAAAAATTTGAAAGTTTATTATCTTATTGAGAAACTAACATTAATATCTTATTTAAAAATTGATAAAATTCACATTCTTAAATAAAAAAAAGGAGAAAATTCATGTATTTATCTCCATATTTCTCATGTCATAATTTAATTCACAGTTCTTATTTACAAAAAAAAAAAAAAAGATTAAATGCTATTAATTCAAATTCTGCTGTTTCGTTTGGGGTTGCTTTTTTACAGTACTTTTTTCATACAGTAACTTATAAAACTATTAGTTTATTATAATTAAAGATATTAATGTTTATTAGTTAGACTTACAAAAAAATTAAGTAGAAAAACACTCAAAATCTACGTCATTTCAATAAGGTAGTAAGAAAAAAAAGATTAAAACAACTGCATTCATACTTTAAAAAGACTAAAATATTTTAGTATATTTAATGAGAATTTATTTTGATGTATTTTTTGCTTTATTTTTTGAAGAATGGCTAATAAACATTTTTTATAATTAAATTAATTTTAATTAATATTTTATAAAAAATTTTAGAGCAATTAACAAATAATAACATAATTTTTATAATATAATATTAAAAAACTCACAATTACAACAGTTTACAATAACTGTATACACAACCGATGTCATTAAAGGCTTTTAATTTTGTTAACGCCACCTATATCATTAGAGGCTTTTAAATTTATTAACAGCACCTATATCATTAAAGGCGTGTAAATTTATTAAAGTATTGAATTTTAAGCATTAATCATTATGTTTTTAAGTGTTAGATAAATTTTCTCCATTGAAAGATGATGAGTTTATATCACAAGAAAGAGTCCTTCATTCCTAAGGTAAATGAGAGCATATAATAATCCCATTCAGAAGAATCATGAATAATTTTCATTTCTATGCTCTCAAGCTCCAAGTTAAGCACACAAAATTTGTAGAGTCACAAGATCTGTCTTAGATGCAAAACAACATGAAATTACAAGTTAAATACCCATTTAACAAGATCAATATTCATTGTAGGCAGTCTCTTTTGAGGGGCTAGATCCAAAAAAAAGAAAATATTACGCCCCCATAGTTGTGAATAACTATTGCTTTCTCAGTCAAGCAACAAATCTATGTTTTGCCTCAGGAAAAACACACAGCTATGGATCATCAGACAGTCTCATGCAGCACCATATCCCCATCCTTTGACAGCTCTTTGCGGGCCAAACATGGTGAAAAAAGTGCTATCAGCAGGGGATTCTTTCTCAGGCAGGAAAAGAAATC